CCTGATATTGCTTATGCAGTGGACATCCTTAGTCAGTTCATGCACAATCCTAGGACAACTCACTTTGAAGCTGCAGAGAGGATCCTTAGATACCTCAAGAAGTTTCCCGGAGCTGATTTGTTGTTCCAGAAATATGGTCACTTAAAGGTGGAAGTATATACTGATGTTGATTGGGCAGGAGCAGTTGATGATCAAAAGTCTACCAGTGGATATTGTGCCTTTCTAGGAGGAAACCTGGTCACATGGAGAAGTAAAAAACAAAGTGTGGTGGCTAGATCTAGTGCTAAAGCAGAATATAGAGTGATGTCTCATGGGGTTGCTGAAATCATGTGGATAAGAAATCTGTTAGGTGAACTGGGTTTTGCAGTGAGTAATCCTATGTCACTCTACTGTGACAATAAATCTGCCATCAATATTGCTGCTAATTCAGTCCTACATGATAGGACGAAACACATTGAAGTGGACAAGCATTTTATTAGAGATGAACTTGTAAATGGAGAAGTGTGTACTCCATATGTCAGCTYAGAWGAACAACTTGCAGATATCTTCACCAAAGGTCTTCATCATGTGCGGCACAATGATTTGTGTGACAAGTTGGGCATGACTAACATGTATGCTCCAACTTGAGGATGAGTGTTGAAATAATTTAGTAATTTGTGTTAGGGTCTATTCTATTATTTCTGTTATTGTACTCACTTATAGCAGGGGCACAAGGGTCTTTTCCCTTCTTATTTCTGTCGCTCTATATAATATAATAGAAGATGGTGCCGCCAGCACTGTTCTATTGCTCCAAACCTTTTCTTCTTCCTTTCTTTCTTCTTCTCTTCTCTCTTCTTCCCTTCTCTTCTCTACTTCCTCATATTTCAATAGGATTTATTGCCAAGAGAATACATGCTTGAAGAACTACAAGCTATGAGGTTGCTCTAAGATCTGCTTAATATTGTTATATTTTTAGAAAGTTAAGTTCATATAATATACACAACTTCATGGTTATTGCCATTAATAGACAACTAGGATCCATGCTAATCGATGGCAGACATATCAATGATGTTCAGAGGAGAAAGAAAGAGAATGAATGGTCTGGTTGTGTCAAATCAAGCTAGCAGTGTCCCCAACCATTTCACAGGGTCTTGAACAATCCAGCAGACAATCATCAATATAAAATTTTTGTAATCATTCATGGAGAGTGGAAGACAAGAGAGAGAGAAAGTGAAGGAAAGGGAGATACGATTGAGAGAAAAATAAAAACTATCTCTGGTTGCCCCCAGTTCACTATTTATATTAACTTAATAAAAAAGAACCTAAATTACATGTATGCCCCTGGCGGCACACCCTAGAAACAAACTAATAAGAAAAAAGGAAAAATAGCTGACTAACAGTATCTTAAGAGGACCACCTACTAACAGCAACTATAAAGTAACAATTAAATAAGCCTTACAACACTCCCCCTCAAGTTGGGCTGAATATGTCTATCATGCCCAGCTTGTCACATAACTCATTATGCCACGAGTATGGAAGCCCTTTTGTGAGGACATCAATGAGTTGTTCCTTGGAGTTGACATATGGGATGCAAATTTCTCTTTTTTCCAATTTTTCCCTTATGAAGTGTTTGTCCACCTCAATGTGCTTGGTCCTCTCATGTAGGATAGGGTTGTTGGCGATGTTTATTGCTGCCTTGTTGTCACAGTAAAGAGACATAGGATTATAAACAACAACTTCAAGCTCCCCTAGAAGATTCTTTAGCCAAAGGACTTCAGCCACCCCATGTGTCATAGCTCTATATTCAGCTTCAGCGCTTGACCTTGCAACCACACTTTGTTTCTTGCTTTTCCAAATCACTAGGTTTCCTCCCACAAAAGTGCAATACCCACTCATGGACTTTCTGCCATCCACAGCACCTGCCCAATCAGCATCTGTAAAGACTTCCACCTTTAGGTGATTATGTTTACCGAATAGTAGACCTGTTCCGAGATATTTTTTCAAGTATCTAAGAATTCTCTCTGTTGCCTTCATGTGTGGTTTCTTAGGAGAGTGCATGAATTGGCTTAGAACCCCAACTGAATAGGCAATGTTTGGAAGGGTCATGGACAAACAAATCAGATTTCCCACTAACCTTTGGAACTGTTTCACATCTTTCAGAGGTTCACCATCATAGTCACCCAACTTGTGGTCAACATCCATGGGAGTATCTGCTGGCCTTGCACCTAATTTGCCTGTGTCATGTAATAGATCAAGGGTGCATTTCCTTTGAGAGATAAATATACCCTTTTCTGAGCGGGCGACTTCAATTCCAAGGAAATACTTCAAGGGACCTARATCTTTCACTTCAAATTTAGATGCAAGGAATTGTTTCAATTTTTGTATTTCTGAACTCCAACTTCCTGTAATGATGATATCATCCACATACACTATCAAGATAGCAACCTATTCCTGACATCTCTTCACAAAGAGCATATGATCATACTAACATTGTTTGAAGCCCATCTGCTGAACTGCCATGTGAAACTTACTGAACCAAGCTCTGAGAGATTGTTTTAAGCCATAAAGAGACTTTCGCAGCTTGCACACCTTATTTTCACTTCCCTTGGCACAGAACCCAGGGGGTTGAACCATATATACTTCCTCCTCTAAGCCACCATTTAGAAAAGAATTCTTTATGTCCAGTTGATGCAATTCCCAATCAAGATTAACAGCTAATGACAGGAGAACCCTAATTGAGTTCATCTTAACTACTGGAGCAAAAGTCTCATCATAGTCAACCCCGTACACTTGTGTGTACCCTTTGGCTACTAATCTTGCTTTGTACCTTTCAACTGTTTTGTCTGTCTTATGTTTACGGTTAAACACTCATTTACACCCCATGGGGTCTTTCCCCTTTGGAAGATCCACTAATTCCCAAGTTTGATTTTTGTGAAGAGCATTAATCTCCTCCTTCATGGCATTTGTCCATTCGGGGCATTTTAAGGCTTTTGCAACATTTCTGGAAACAATGATGCAATCAACTGTAGATAGGAAGGCTCAGTATGAGGGGGAAATGTGATCATAGGAGACAAAATGGGTAATAGGGTGTTTGGTAGTGCATGACCTGACTCCCTTTTGTTGAGCAATAGGAATGTCAAGGTCATCCACAGTAGGAACAAGGGTATCAATAGGTGCAACAGGGATTGGACTTACCTCTAGGGAGTCTAACAGTGTCGGTTGCTCAATGTTTGGCTGCTCCACATCTCTATCACATTGTTGATCTCTACGACATATACATTGGAAGACACGAAAGGGAGCAAGGTCTGGAATAGAAGGAAGAGAGACTTTGCGGACYTGAACCTGCTTCTCTTCTTCCACACTACTACTCTCCCCCTGAGGAGAAGCAAGGAAGAATGGCTCAGACTCAAAGAATGACACATCCATAGACACAAAAAACTTATGACTAACAGGATCAAAGCACTGATACCCTTTTTGAGATGAGGGATACCCCAGAAAGATACAAGGAATGGACCGAGGGTCTAACTTACCTCGAGATGGAGACAAATCATGGACAAATGCATGACAACCAAAGACTCTCATGGGAATGGAAAATAAAGGGGACTGAGGGTACAATAACTGATGAGGGGCCATGCAGTTCAGCACTTTGGAGGGCAAGCGATTGATGACATAAGCAGTTGCAAGTATAGCATCCACCCAAAACTTTTTTGGAACATTCATGTGTAACATCATCCCGCGAACTACCTCAACGAGGTGTCTGTTTTTTCTTTCTACAACACCATTTTGTTGTGGTGTTCTGGTGCATGAGATCCTATGAATAAATCCGTGGGAGACAAAGAACTCATTGAGCTCACCATGGAAGTATTCTTTTGCATTGTCGGATTGGAAGATCTATATTTCAACATGGAACTATGTAAATACCATCCTCTGGAAGTCTTTCACAACCTTTGGAACTTCGTCTCTACTACGTATGAGAAATACCCATGTATAGCGAGAGTAATCATCGATCAATGTGATAAAATACTTATATCCGCCCTCAGATATTACATTAGTAGACTCCATACATCATAATACACAACATGAAAAGGAACACTTGATCTTTTATTACTTGAGTGAAAAGTTGTTCTACATTATTTGCTCAACTGACACGTTTGACACTATAACTCTGACACTGAACATGACTTAAATAAAACCGAAAATAAAGACTTTACTATTTCAAAAGAAACATGACCTAAACGACTATGCCACAAAAAATTTGACTCTTATTTGACTGACTATGTGACTTTGAAGATGACACTAAGAGACCAGTTTTTTTGTCGAGAGTGTAGAAACCATCCACTAGTCTCCCTCTACCAATCGTCCTCCCAGAAGTTAGGTCCTGAAAAACACATGAGCTAGGAAAAAAGGTTACACTACAGTTTAAAGAGCTTGTGATACTACTAATTGAAAGCAAATTTATAGAAAGTTAAGGGACATGCAATACACAATTTAGGTTAAGGCCATGGGGAAGAGATATTGATCATTGGCCTGCAATGGAGGAGAATGAGTCATCTGCAAGCCTTACTTTATCCCTTCCTGACAAAAGGCTATAGGTCTGAAACAAGTTCCTCTTACCGGTCATGTGGTTAGAGGCCCCTGAGTCAATGATCCAAGGGGAACCTGTGGGACTGACATGGGTTGTAGAAGTCGTATTACCTGATGTAGATGCAAGTGAAGTAGAGAGAGTACCAGTGACTGAGCTATCCATTTGTCGGAAAGCCCTACCATAAGATTCCAGGTGTTCCCTGAAGGAATTCATTATATCTTCCTTGGGGTCAGAATTATTAAGGTGGTCCCGGGTAGTACCAGCAACCTGAGTATCTTGGGTTGCCACATGTGCTGCATTCTGCGTTGTATTCATCTTCTTCTGACCTTGACCTTTACCCTATTCTTAGTTCTTCATTGCCCACTTGGGTTTCCCGAGGATGTCCCAACATGTGTCACGTGTAACCATCAGTCTTCTTGCTGTCACTTTTCTTCCATGTGGAGTTATTATTCATCACAGCCAAAGCAACTTGTTGCTCCCCCTCAGCTGTAACCATCACACTCCGCCTACTTTCTTCCGATTCAACAAGGGAATATACCTCGTGAACTGACGGCAACTCTTTGCTTCCTAGGATCTGAACCCTCAAAGGTTCATAGGCAGGGTTCAGTCCCAACAAGAAGGCAAACACACGTTGCTGAGAGACCAGCTTCCTGTAGGCCTTAGCATCATCATCATGTTTCCACTCTATAGCCTGATAATGATCCAATTCTTTCCATATGGAAGTAAGGGCTGAATAAAATGAAGACAAACTACGATTTCTTTGTTTACAGGTAGAAGATTCAGCTTGTAACTAGTAAATGCCTTTGCTCAGAATAGGTAGTTTTGGCCTGTTCCCAAATCTCACTAGTGGTGTCTGCCCACATAAAGTTCTTCTTCACATCAGGTTCCATGGCTGCAAGGAGCCAAGACATCACCATACTRTTTTCTTGGTCCCACCTATCATGTTGAGCTGTCTCACCCTTGGGTTCTTTCACCCTTCCATTTATGTAATCAGTTTTTCCCCTTGCCGTTACATAGAGTTGTACACTTTTAGCCCACTCCAGGTAGTTCAGACCATTTAAAGGGGTAATTGGCATGGGAAACATCATGTTCTCAACTCCCATACCAGCTGTGTTGCAGGTCGGTGTAACCCTTGATGAAGTTGATTCATAATTTGCCATACAATACTGCTGAAAACAGTCCAAGTCCCACACAACTACACAATAGCCACAAGCAGAATACCAACCCTCAAGAAAACAAGAAACTGCTAAAATCAACTCTGTGATGGTTCAGTCATTAAACCAGCCCGGTAATCAGTCCAACACAGCCAAGGCAGACGTTACTATCAGTTCGACTACAGCCCATACAGTCTAATAATCCAACATCCAAACAAATGTATAGAATCAAGGAATAAGACCTTCACACCATTGGTCAAAAAAAGACAAAAACAAGAACACACCTGTCCAGCACTTGTACGAAGGTGCCAACCAGAAATCGACTTCACAACATCGAACAGAGAAGAAATGAAGTCTCTATCAGCATCACCCTTCTTCGACTAGGGTTTCCTTGATATTACGACCAAGGAAGAACCCATAGGAGGTGCCGCCAGTAATCTGCTAGGGTTTCTCTGTCTTCCACGTCCAAGAATTTAAAGAAGGGAAAAAAAAAGGGAAAGTAGGTTCAAAACAGGAGGGACCGAAATTCTTTTACAGTCCAAAAACTTGCTCTGATACCATGTACTCATTCATGGAGAGTGGGAGACGAGAGAGAGAGAAAGAGAAGGAAAGGGAGATACGATTGAGAGAAAAAGAAAAACTATCTCTGGTTGCCGCCAGTTCACTATTTATATTAACTTAATAAAAAATAATAGAAATTACAAGTATGCCCCTGGCAGCACACCCTAGAAACAAACTAATAAGAAAAAAGAAAAAATAGTTGACTGATAGTATCTTAAGAGGACCACCTGCTAACAACAACTATAAAATAACAATTAAATAAGCCTTACAACAGTTTTATCAAGACAGTTGTCTTGGAGTTCGCAAGAGATAATTGACATAAATAGAAAAATGGTATACCAGTAATAAATCTAAATTCTGTGTACCTAGGGTGATGTATCCTCCTCATAATTGCATATTCATATTGGTTCCAAGCTCATTAACCAATAAATCCAAAATCTACGAGAACAAAATATTTGTATGATATGAGGAATATTTGCAGTAGGATGAGACAATATGAAGATGTCCCTTCTCTGCTGCAATTTGGCATACACATAGGTAGGCTTGTGGACCAAGACAACTGTACACTCCAAGGTAGGCTTGTGGACCAAGACAATATGAAGATGTCCCTTCTGCAGCTGTACACTCAGGCCTGTGGACCAAGGTTTGACTGTAACCACCTTACTGCTCCAACAATCAAAAATGGCAATGACTGAAACAATGAAGAAAAGGGATGCTCCGAGGATTGCAGACAAAACTAGAAAGCATTGAAGACTTCGATGAGCTATGTCTTTGTCTTCAACAGTGTTCCTGAAGTAGATAAGAGTAGTTATCATGAATAAGATACAATATTCCATACAAGATTCAGCAAGCATGACTTTTAAAAAGATTCTAACAGAAAAAATAAAAAAAAAAAGACTTCTAAAAAGACAAAGACATGAAAAGTCTAGGTTAGAATGTGGGACATCTGGCTTAAAATGAAGGTTTTGCGGACTTAATCAATGAGATAGTCTCCAATAAAGTATTTACCATAATAATGAATAGAATGAGATAGTCTCATGTACAAACACCCTCCGAGGACTTTTTTTTATGCTCCTGCAGGTGTTGAGCTATTTCCTTTAGAAGTTGCATCCCCTCACCATCTTTCTGAAGTGACCTAAAAGACTAAAAGAATGCTTTAAAAACTCTTGTTCTGCCTCAAGGGCCTCTAGCCTCTCATTGATCTGAGATATTTTCTCTGGTTAAGATGTTATTATTTTCATTTCCTGCCACCACAAAAAAGCAAAGCATTTGATCCTCAGATTATATTACTACCTTACAAAACAATGTGAGAACTCCAATGAAGTCAAACAGTACCTTTGTCTTCTTCATTAAGATTAATGATGTTAGAGCTAGGTACAAAATGGTGAACCCCATCACTTGACGATGAGTTATCAGATTATATCACCAGGTTAATCTTTGCTTCT